AACCTGGATTTCAGTCCCTGCTCCAAGGACTGCTTAGAATATTTTATACAGGGATAAAAAACCTTGAAGTACTCCTTTGGTGCAAACAGTATTTGCTCAGGTCTCTAATGTTGCCCTTAGTCCCCAGTCCATCTAGAATTACCCTCCCTGCTCACTCATTCTCTTCTGGGCCAGTACATCTAGGGTGTTTTTATATAAATCAAAATGCAGGTCGAGGAGAGTCCTTTACCCCCCAGTACAACTGGTGACTGCTGTGGGAGATGTGGGTTTGAATCCTGTTCAGATTTCCAGCGCTCTGGGTGAACGCTGTAACCAATGACCCTGGGGTAAAAGGGGAGAAGTGGTACCTATGTGGTCGTGTTGAATTGCTGCAAGTCCTGAGTGGGCAGAGGTGCCTCCCCACTTTACTAAAGCCAGATAGATGTCAGATTTAGGATATGCCCTTTTTCATTTCTGGTGGGCTGTTGTTTTGGGTGGATGCCTTTCTGGGCTGTCTGCCGTTGTACAGGGAGCTTAAGGTTCAACCACAGAGCTGTGAATTTTGTAACATCAACAAGATGCCTAAAGGTTAGGAATCACAGTGCTCAAATGCCAGCAATGCATTGCATATCTAACACCACTTGTGTGTCTAAGCTTTTGTAACGCAGTGAAACAAAGGCAAGTTCTCCCACCACAAGTTGCTTGTCACTTATCTGTTTTCAAAAGAATCATTTGAGATATGCTGTTTTAGTATGCTAGTGTGTATTATCCTGGACCAGCCCCTTGGATGATAGGCTTTGATGTAGACCCTTTGATTTCAGCATAGTGAGAACAATTTAGGCAATACGGGATGGGGATCTGGCCAATTTTTGTTAGAGTAATGAAATATCCCAGATGTCAGGTATCCCCCTTGCTTGTGGAATCTGGGCTAAAAAAGCGATGCTGGGTCATTTCTGGGGGAAAATAGTGTGTTTTCAGGTGAGTGAGATATCGGATAGCACAAAGAGAGTGAATGCCACATAGTTACAAACTGTTGCCAAATGGAGTGTAAGTAGGGGCTCTGGACTTGTTTTCACAATGCGTTCGAGAGTTAGACTTTAAATATATGAAAACTTCATATACGCAGGCAATCCCACATGACATGTAAAACAGGAGTAACTATAAACACAAGTGTAGTTGTGTTTATACAACATCCATAATTGTGAATCTGCAGGGCTTCATATGGATGGAAAACTAGCATAGCATCAGCACCATAAAATGCAAACCTTGCTTTTCAGGGAGTTACTTTTTTTTTTTTAAATCAGGATAATAAAAAAAGTCTCTCAGTAAAGTCTATTTGGCATTTACTGGCTTAGATCCCACATTTCTCTCATCCCAGGAAATATATTCTCTGGTAGTAGACTTGCATGAACATAACCCTCAGGTCCAAATGGAACCTGATGTCTTCTTTCATAAAAGCAGAGGTTATAATTTTTGTCACCTACTCCTTTATTTTCAGCCTATGAACACTTTCTTCCTAATTCTATTGTATCAGCTATTATACAGTAAGCTAATTTGCATGCTCTGTCAAGCTAAGCAGAGAAGATTGAAGTCTACAGGTCACAGTTATTAGCACAAGCAATACTCCTGAGGCTTGTGTTTACTTTATTTTGCATCTTTAAATAGATAGGACTGCCAACGAATTAAATACTTGTTGAAGAGGGACAGAGGAGTCAGTAAAGGCTTTGATGAAGTAGCAGTGACTCCACAATAGCTTCTTATGTATTTATTGTCATGTATCTCCCTTGGAGAGAAACGCTACAGTGTTTTACTGAAGTTTTGTGAAGAAATTTGCTATGGAAATCCCCTCTTAACTTTCTGTGGTTGTCAGTATCTGAGAATTAACCACTTCTGACAGTTTTAGTTTTCACCTAAATAGCAACACTGGTAGAAAAAAAGCAGTTTCTAGTTACAGGAAGCAGGACTGAATCAGATCTGGCTTTGCTGAGATTCCAGCTTGGCCTTGTGGCTTCTTACATCGGGTTTCATCTTTCTCTGCTGCAATTTCCTCATCCATCTCTGTGTCAGATGCTAACAGGAGCATGTAATGTATAGCCAAAGAGTGGCTCAGAAGCGGGCATGACTGATCTGCACAAGAAAAGAGTGACAGCAGATGGGATGTGAGGAGACGGTATTTCCTCCTGGTAAGATCGGAACAGTCATCCAGAATATCCTTCAGTTAGAAAACTGTTTGGATGCGCTGTCAGTTTGCATGGTCCTGCAAACCACTATATGTGATAGTGTTTGTCAGGAATCTTTTATATACTAATAAAACTGTTCTGCTCTACTGAGGAAAACATATGATTTCATACTGAACAAAGTTTACGAAACCATAAGCTAAAATTTTTCAAAATAATTTTCTAAGAGCGGAAGAATTTAAATAACGTGGGAACAGTAGCGGCTGGAATCTCACTGGAATGATGTTATTGTGCGTCTCTGGCATATCGGGATGACCACAGACAAAACATAGTCTGCCCTTTTGTAGCTATTATTTAGGTAAATTATGCTATTGGGGTTGAACTGTTTGCATTGCCTTTGTGATAGACATAGAGTAAAGTCATGCATCTTGTAAGTGGAGCTGGGGAGTGTGATGTTTTTGGGGGCAATGTGCAATATTAATCTGCTTTTAGGAAGTCTTATGGGTGCTGCCCTGGAAGCCACCTGCAGAGTCCTGGCATGCTAAACTTCAATGCCAGGACCAGCAGACTGTTCTGGTTCCTTTCTCTATTTCGCTCTGAAAAAGCCGTCCCCCAGTCCCCCCCCCCCCCCAGCCTTGCAAACAGAGTGTGTTGTGACTTCTTTTTGCCCTCTGCCCAGACAGCCGTGCACGGGCTGGCATCAGGTCACGCTGGCCCACGGCTACAAGAGCAGCTCAGGGTGGGCAGTCAGCACTTTTGTGCATGCGGGAAGACGCGCTCTGCTCACGGCTGAAGCCACACTTGCAAGCACGCTGTGTACAGAAGTTGAGAACAGCAAAAAAGCCCCCCTCAGAGACAGTGTAAATGCACCTGTGAGACAACAAATACTGTAAAGGAATGCTCATCCTGATGTTGGCGATAGGCAGCTCACTGCTGTGGTGGTAAACGAGGTGGTTCCCATCCTCAAACAACGCTGAGGTCCAGCCTCTCGGTTTGCCATGGTCCAAGTCTGTAGAAAACAGCTTGTGACAAAGACTCAGTGAAAGGGGAACACAAGCACAAATATTCAGGCTGAAATTTTGGAATACAGTACAGTCCACAGATTCAGCATATGGGATATCCTGTCACTTCAGTTTAGTAACTTCTTTTTTTTTTAGTTAAAAGAATTTCCTTATGGCATCAAATATCTCTGCTAACTAGAGATACAATAGTGGACTGCTTGGGAAATACGTTAGACCATCAAAATCTCAAATACCACTAGCCTGAATAAGCTTTAGTATGGAAGAATAATTTGTCAGAGAAGCTTTGTTCACATGTGCTAAGAAGCTTTACTGAAGAAGTCTCTATGCCATAACGGATTTCCTGGAAAAGAAATGATTGCCTATGGAAATAGTCTTGAAATCCTAGCAAAATGCTAGTGGGAGGAAAGACTGTTTAACACAAACTTACCTGAACCAAATTACACAATTTTTTAAGCAAATTGCCAAAGTTTCTGCAAGGTGACCCCAATTAGTCCAGCTCACTTTTTGAGTTAAGTAAAAGGCATCATTACCTGTGAAACATGCAACTTTGAATCTAGAAGAAAATCAATTTCCAATTGCTCTACTGTATAAAAAAAAAAATCTGTGAAAAAAATGACAAGGATGAGGCTGCGTAGAAAACTATAGGTCTCTCTTGTGTGTCAGCATTACAATGAAGTGTTACACAGTCACGTCTTTCTGCTCCAGTAATTCACCCAATCCTTGAACGTCCTTGACAGATTATACTCAAGGAACTATTTTTGAAACTCCTTCCCCCACAAATTATCTTACTTATTGCTTCAGATTTTTCTAGGTGAACATCCTATCAGGGCAGTATAGCAGTGCACAGTATATTTATCAGCAACCGCTGCTGCTTGGTGCCATTAGGGGTCCAGTCCTGCAGTGGGCATCATTGTATGGATGAGCCATTGAGATCCAGGAGGAAGAAAGTGGAAAATTTGGGTTTTTTTCTGTATGTGACAAAGCAGTTTTGTTTAAACATGGAGATGAACAAGATTCCTTCAACAGACATATGCAGAGCAGGTACCTAGTTTCTGTTATGCTGAAGGAGAAAATTGCTTCAATATTTTCATCAAAATACTGTGAACTCATCAACTCATCACGGAGCTGAATATTTTAAGTTACATGTGGCTTGCAACAAATGAATTTAAAGAAGTTTGCCTTTAAAAAAAGGTCTGTTTATTAACTTACAGTTTTCAATTGGATCTTTGTTATAAATCAGCATTAAGTTCCTGTGTGTATTCTTTATCACTGACGTACAGATCTGTCTCCTGACAAAAGGATAGTGCTGTAGGAAAAGAAAATAGTGTCAGTTAGCTCATGCTGATCTTGTAAAACAGTTTCCTTGTTATTTGATAGAAGCCAAAATAAAGCAATGAATTCTGAGAAGTGTTTGTTCTCATAAAGTACTGCTGATGTACTGCTGACTGGGATTTTTTGTTTTGTTTCTAATGGTGAAATCCAGAGGCAATAATATGCGCATATATACTGGACTTGCTGTAGATGCAGCATTATGTCAGATTAGGCATGAAAAGGAAATTTTAACTCTAACAGTGACAATGGCCTAACTTCACTATGGCCAAGTTTTTTACTCCTGTGCTCTTGCTTCATACTACGAATAACAGCAGAGAAATTCCGTGGGAAATTTTAGTTCCTTGTGCCATCAGACAAATAAAGTGTATCATCATGCCATTTTAGTTAAAGTTAGCTACTACATTTCAGAAAATCAGGATAAGGTATTCTATGTTTTAATATATAATGTGAATTAACTCTAACCTGACCTTTCTGTAATGTTTATCCATAGATCTGCCATTCAGAAGCTGGGGGAAGAAGTATTTGAGAAAGTGTACAGCTATCTCAAGCAAGCAAGACAGCAGAATGCCAGCGAGGACGAGGTCAGGAGGAGCCTGGAGAAAGTGGTCTCTAGAGCAAGCGACTGCTTCGAAGTGGATCAGCTTCTCTACTTTGAGGAACAGCTACGGGCTTCAGAAGCACGTCTTCAGTCGTAAAATGAGTGTCAGTAACAGGTAGCACTGAAAATGTAAGGGAAGAGTGAAATTGCTGAACCACCTTCTTCAGGCCAGCAAGCAAATACTTTGCCACTGAAGGTAATAGTAGTACTTAGGCATGTGGATAAACTCTGATAATCCCAACTGTGCAGTGAGAGGTGGGCAAATACTGTAAAGATTACAAGGGCACAGTTGCAAATATTTGTGACGGCGGAGGAGAGCTTTCACAGTTCTCAGCATCCTCTTTTCACCACTTAGGCCATAAAGGAGGGTATTCTTCCAGGTCTTGGCCAGGCATCAGTCCTGCACTTGGAGAAGCCTTTGGTAAAGTTGCCTCTGATAGAAATGGTGCAGGATTTGAACCTAGGTGCTATTAATTCCTGTGGTAAAAGTAGCTGGTCATTATGACATTTAAGTACATACTTTTTGTACTTTGGCAGACTTTTGAACCTTGAACCTCAAATGTGTATGTTTGACTGCTCAGCCAGAAATTGTCTTGTTATTGATTGTCAAAGGGCTGCATTTAATCTATGTGACTTTCAAAGGAACTGTGAAAATACATACATGTGTATTTATACATGTATATGCATATATACATGCATAGAACTATGTATGTATATGCATACACAGAAAGATGTTAAGATGTATCATGTGCATGCGTGTGCATGTGTAGAGACAGAGACATAAGGCCTGAACTATAGCTGACTATGGTAACCGTGATTCCTTGTGACTTCTGAGAGTTTTAGACCAAATTTAGTTGAAATAATAAACTAATTTTTTTGGCTTGTGCGCAGATATTGTTAACATTTTATCCCAGTATTTATGCTCACTTCTTAATACGCATCATACTTTGAGGATTTCAAATGTATATCATGCCCTGATTATACACCTTATCTTTTCCTTCTACCTTTTCTTTCTTTTTTTCCCGGCCTTCTAAACTCCTTCATCCATCTGTGAAAAGCACTAAAGCAAACCAAAATGGTACTATCTATCTGTAAAGGATTCTCAAGTGAACCATAAGCGAAATTTATTTTAGGCATGTAGCCATCATAATTCTTATGTTTCCTGCTCTTGTGCTACAACTCTGAAAGTACCCAGGCACAGAATTAAATAAATAATTTTAAAAAATGTCAATATCACAGACAATTGCTATTTGATTTGGGGCAAGTTACTTACAGCTGGGACTGACCGACTGTAGATTTAGCAGTGGTACTCATCTATCTTTGTGACATGCTTTAAGAGACTCAAAGGGAAAGGTAAGTAAAGTCAGCTTAATCTAGCTCAGTGTCAACACAAACTGCAAAAGCAAAGAACATGCCCCGGAAGGGAAGAAAAGACATTATGATACTTCCCCTTTGCAATAATAGGAGTTTTCTGCATGTCTGACTTCAATTTCTGTTAGGAATACAGGGCACAGAAAACTGGAGGCTAAATTCCACTGTGAGGTATGTTTTTTCTTGTATGTGTTTGTTTAGATACCACAGGTGGAGAGGCAGCTTTGAGCACAGATTCTCTGTCAGAATTCAGTCTCTTTCCTGTGATTTCTTCTTGTGCTTGCACTCTCCATCCTTCTCAATGTTGGGTCTGAGTACTTGCGTCCATATATTTTACAGGTGGCTTAATTTAAGACCATTTAAAAATCAAAGTGCCCAAAGATCAAGATGTAGCAGGAGTGCTTGGATGTTGCAGGGACTAATAGGTTTGCCAGCCAAACAATAAGTGACTTACATCTGGTGAGAATAATATCAGAGGGATGCAGTCTTGACTGCTGCACTTCTCTCGGGCTGTGATCCGGACTGATTTATCACAAGAACTTCAAAAACAGCCTCTGTAAGCAAGCAATCACTTCTTATTAATGAGGAATACTTCATCAGACTTTTTTCCTGCAGCATGCAAGAAAAACGTGCACAAAAATGGGTCAAATTCTCGGGAGAAGTCAAGCACTTGGGAAATCATTAAAGGGCAACCTTTAAAGCCTGGAAATCATGCTTTAGCCATGCAGGCTACCCTCAGGCAAACGGTTGTTCTCTGAAGAGCAGAATTTGGCTTGTTGCACATGATAAAGAGATCACAATAGCTTTTAATGTAACTTCAGTTACTTTCTTCTATCTAGCTGCAGGATGTCACCTCCAAGTCATGTGAGGATCTGGAGGTTACTCCAGTATCTGCGTGTTCATATGCTTTAAACTATGTTTTTTATTTTTCTGTCAATCATACCTCAATTAGGCAACATACTATCTTTGGTTAACTCAGCAGTTTTTTCAGCAGGAACCTTTTTGTCTTTGAACTGTGGTAATAGCAAGGAAATAAATACTAACGGTTTGATAGGGATTCTTATTTCACTGTTTCAGCTGATAGTCACTTTAGAAAAACATTGGGTTGCACTATATGTCTAATCCGGGACTTGCTTGCAGATCTCCATTCAAAGAGGGAACATATTTTGGGGCATATTTTCTCTTTTTGTCATAATTTGTTATTAACAAAGAACAGGAACTGTCTGCTTAACACATGCAGTGTTTTGAATAGTGTTTTGTTGCTGTTGCATCTTATTTTAATATAAATTAGCAAAGTCTACATGCAGAATGTTGTATGTAAAAAATGATATGTGCACTTGAAAATTAAGTTGAAGTTCCTTTGAAAATGTGATCTTATATAAGTTTTTACTCTCTTGAAAATAAGAGTTTTCAGTCCTGAGAATGTGGACACTTCTACAATTGCTAACCATACAAACCTAGAAAATGCAAGCAAAATTTTAAATTGAGATGTAAGCATACTCACCTAAAGGAATTGAAAAAACTGACAAAAGTGCAATAAAACCCTGCCCTTTTCAGATCTTATCCCTTCCAAAATTCTCAGTAAATAATTGAGTTTTGCAAAGAGTCTTGATATTGCTTTATCCAGACCAGGACCAGCTCTAATCTTGGAGACAATGAGGTCTGTCCCCACCCTGCTGCATTTGACACTGTGGTATGAGCATTAAATGTAACAGTGCTTATGGAGATGCCATGCTGATAATCTATATATATGATTATCAGATTAATTATTTGTCTGTAATCAAGTTTAGCATAGAAAGAGAATAGTAAATTTTGAAATAACAAAAAATGTATGAACTAAATAAGGATCTATAGGTCCTTAGAAATGCAAAAAGTCCCAAGAAAGCAAAAGATAACAAAATTATCACTGTATCACAAAGTACATTAAGTAATGAGCTACTCTAGGCTTTTAATAGGCAACACTCTTCCACAAACAGGTCAAAGCACAAAGAGGGAAGTGCCGAGTCCTTTTCTAACATAATAAAACACTGATGGAAGGAGAGAAATAGATCAAATTCATCACATCATTATCTTTTATTAGACACATGCAATGAACTACCTTAAAAGAAAAAAATCTGTTCTTAAAAGATCATAACTAGTGTAAGATGTATTTTAATTTTCAGGTTTATTTTACTTGCTGGGGAAAAGGGGTTTAAGATGAAGAAAAGATTAAGTCCTTGTCTTTTATACATGAACTGCATTTCCTTGTAGAATACAAGCAGGTTCATTTCCAGCAAAAAACCATTATTGGTGGTCATTAGTAGAAATCTGACAAGAAGGAGGAGGATTGCTAGTAACAGTGCTCTTCAGTAATAAAACAACAACAACAGAGGAGTTACTGGAAATAAACATGAAGAAATAAATGTGAAAACATTAGAGCGTTGCGGGTAGGAACTCGTAAAAAGTCCCATTTGACCTACATATTTGTACCAAAAGCGTCACAAGCATCAGGCAAATTTGTTGCTTTCTTATTGACTCACCTAATAATGCTACAAGCTGTATTACTCAATGCAAAGATATGGCAAACAAAGGTGAGTAATTATTTAAAGGCTTTGGTGCCTTGAGCGTGGTAAAAAGGTGTTGGACTAGAAAAGGAAACAAAACATTTGAGCTTTTTGAGGAGTAGAGCTGTCAGCATCTTGTCCACAGCTGGATTAGGAGGCAGACCAATTATATTTGTCACAGCAAACAAAAAACACCTTTCTTAGAGGTGACTGGACTGTCAGATAATCCCTCAGGTGGCATCAGAGTCCCCTTTCTATAAGATGAATTGCTGGAGGTTTCCACAGTCCGAAAATGCAGTCTTTAGGAAAGGACAATCCCTCCTACAGGACTTGGCTCTGCAGGTGCCACCTTGTGACAACGCACTCCAAGATGCACTCAGGGCCAGACCTGCCCTCCAAACCATGAACCTGCACCTGGCCTGGCCGGAGCTCACCCCTCCTGGCCACAGCTGGCTCTCCAGGTCCATCCAAAACTGTGGGAATGGAGCTTCAAGCAGATACAAAGGTGAAAGGAAGGTAGGACACAGCAAAGTATGCTTATAGCTGTTTCTAAGATTGACCTTTCAGTGCACTGTAGGTGCAACTAGAGTCATCTGAAGGAATTTACCAGCTGAGGGAATAAAGTCTCAGACAGGAGATTTGTTTCGAGGCAGGAGCAATAGGTCTGCAGACATACCGGATTTGGATATTTTGCTCTTAATGTGTGTTCCCATTACATGACAGATCTGAAAAATCTTTAGTGAGTCTCCTCTGAATGTTGTGTTTTTCGGGAGACCCTTGTCCAACAGAAAATTTTCCACATGTGATTATCTGTAGGGAGTAGAAGCCTCCTGAAAATATAGTCCCCAACCACTGATTGGGGACCAGCTGTCTACAGACAGCTGGAAGAAGCCTCACGATCACAGGCCCTGGTTCTCATGGGAGACTTCAACCACCCTGACATCTGTTGGGAAGACAGCACAGCTAGGCACAAACAGTCAAAGAGGTTCCTGCAAAGCATTGATGATAATTTCTTGACCCAGGTGGTGGAGATGCCAACAAGGAGAGGTGCAATGCTAGACCTTGTACTAACGAACAAAGAAGGTCTAGTTGGAGATGTGAAGGTTGGG